TGTGGGTTTTGAAACTCCAACAAACCTCGCATGACTTGCAATAGCGTATGACGTCGCCAAGAAGGTCGGGCCATGAAAGAGCTCGCGAAGTCTGCCAATCGTAAGATTGACTCCAAAATGTCCGGTGGCGTGAGCGACTCACCAAGAAGCCACGTATGTAAGTGTGGATCACTCGGCATGCAAATCCTTCCCGGTGAGTGGACAAGCAAGTAACTCTCTTGGATCCGATAATGCAAAGGCGACGGATTTGGGGATGAGCAGTTCACATATTTGTCGCGGAACTCGGGGTCGACTTGATAGCCGTGGATGAAGTTGTCCCGCAAGTCGTCATCAATCTCGAATGTCGAGTCGACCGCTGTACAAAGGTCCGGGGGCCGCGAAAGAGCATCCATAAAACGGTTCGACTTTCTCGGGATGTGATCGAGAAAGAAGTCAAACTTGTCGATGAAGGCCATCCAATGGGCAATGGTACTATTGACCGTGTCTTGCGATTTGTAAAAGACCAACGGATTGTTATCCGTGACCCATTGGAATTGGCATCGACTGAGGAGAAAGTGCCGCCACCGCTTAAGTGTGTGTACGATGGCCAACCTCGTTCCGTGCGTCGTCAATTGAGTGCACGACGGGCACCTTCTTGCTGAAGTCCTCGACCGGGTGCCAATCCACGCCAATGTGAATGCCATAGGCGGACGCATCGGTAGTGGCACGTGTCGACAAAAGCAGGTCATAAATGCGCAAAACCTCCGCGGATAGCAAGGCAGCTTAGGGCCAAAAAAAAAGCCTGCGCATCGTTGTTGAAGTCGAACGGTCGATCCTCACATAGAAGCTTGGTCAAGTGAACTTCGATCTTCGATAACGGACTAATGCCCTCCGGTGTGACAAAATGGCCCAAGTACTAACTCTTGATGTACAAACTCGCACTCATCACGGTTGGCCTTGTACTTGGCGCGACGGAGCGTCTCCAACACACCGTGAAGGTGCTTGAGATTGTCCACGAAAGTACGGTTATAGACGAGGATGCCATCCAAGTAGACCAGCACAAACCAGTCCAACATAGTGCGAACTCGTTGGTCAGACCAACGCCGCTTGAAATGTCGTCGAGGCATTGGTGAGGCTAAACGGCATGACGACCCAAAAATGCCAGTACCACGTCTTGAATGAGGACTTGTAGCGATCTTGTGGGCGAATCAAAATTTGGTGATAACCCGACTTTAAATGCAACTTGGAGAAGAATTTTGCGTCGCCTAATCGCTCAAGGAGGTCGTCGATACGAGGAAGAGGCCCCCCGTTCTTGACCTATTGCGCCTTGAGCTTACGGTTGTCAAGGGTAGATCCTTGTTCTTCTTACGTACGAAGAGGACCGGCCCACCATATGGTGAGCTGCTAGGGCGGATCCAACCCTTGTCCAGCAAGTCATCGAGTTGCGCGCGGAGAACCGCGAGCTATGCAACCCTTGGGTGGCACGACACTGGACTCGAGAGTGATCTTGTGAGAGATCGACCAGTCCTTAACCACGCCAGTAGGAGGCTCGAAGACGCCTGCGAACTCGTCAAGCAATCGCACCATGCGGGGGTCCGGAGACAAATCCGTAGGTGAAGATCGGTCGCCTGACGGTCCGAAGAAAACAATGACCGATCACCTCGGCCTACTCATAAGCACAAGTGGCCCGAAAAGACTTGGCTGTCACAACTTGGCATCGGATCGAAGGGTGTGGAGGAGGGACAGTACACGGAACTTCGGCGCGGAAAGCGTCACGGATGGTAAGCGTCCGCCGATGGAAGTTGACTATGTGGTCCGCACAAGCAAGCCAAGGCATCCCCAAAATCATATTGAAGTCGACGTCCAACTCGTCAAGCGTCCCTGATGGAAGTTGATAGTGTGGTCCGAACTGGCAAGCCAAGACATCCCCAAAATCATATCGAAGTTTGTGTCCAACACGTCAAACGCGACGGCTTCGCACGCATGAGATGCGTAATAAACTTGTGCGGCTTTGATGTAGCGATCAAGAAGTTGTTTCAATCGATTGTTCGCCATCTGGATCGTCGCAGGATGTAGCTTCTTCCAAACTTGTGCGTCAAGGTCAGCCCTTTGTATAAAGGACTAGCTAACAAAATTGTGAGTCGCACCGCTATACAACAAGCGCTGCAGGACCCTTGTCCAACTTGGATCCAGACTAAAGTAGCGGTGCGTTGTTGTCGTCGTACCGCTGTGTGCGAAACTCGCAGGCCACCTTGGAAATGTATGCAAGGAGGTTCCCTATTGCGCCTTCGTCGTCCGTCGGCGAAGTTGGTGGTGCATAGAAGGACAAGTATTTGTGCAAGTGAGCACATATTGCTGCGCAATGCGGCTCTGGCAAGTATCCCGTCGAATGGAGAGGAAGCCATGCAAAATCCTCGGGCGTCAACGAGTCCAAGTCCTCTGCGCTGAACTTATGTGCCGACTCCCTTGAAGACGGTGAAGACTACGAAATCGGACTGCTAGCGGACGGAGAGAATGCCTTGAGCAAGAGATCCCAACGATGGAACGAGCTGGGCAGCAAAGTCCTCAAAAGAATAAAGAGTAGGACTCACGGCTTCCATATGTGCCCCGGAACTAAGGGACGTCGATCGCAAAGCAACCGGTTCCGGTGGCGTCGAGAGTGCAGCCACATCACTCTCGGCGGTGCTCACTTTGCCGAATGGGACGTCCCCTTGGCCTTTGTGGGACAGTTCGCGGTCTTGTGCTCGTCGCTGTTGCACCACAAGCAATATCGATACTTGGAGCGGATCTTGTAGACGCCCTCTGAGATACCGTAGTGGAGCCAAGGTCCTTGAGCTGTTGTCCCGGTCTTGGGAGATGAGGTGTGTGTCTTCGGCTTGCCGCATCCGCGACCTTCGGTTGGGCGGCCACCATCCCGAGCAGCTGCTAACGTATCTCCCTCGTCTGATGAAGCAGCCTCGCTGCTTGAACTGGTCGGCGTTGTCGCGGGGACCATGGCCACCTTCGGCCGATGCTGGTCCCTGCTGGGGCCTGCAGATGACGGACGACCGACATTGTGGGTTTCGGTGTTCGTCACGATAATCTGTGAGGCCTTGTTGAATAATAACTCGCTCGTGGAGACATTGTCGCGGGGACCATGGCCACCTTCGGCCGACATTGTGGTTTTCAGTCTCCGCGACTTGTGTTAAGGCATTTTGCAATGTCTAGCATGACCCATATGATGAAGTAATGCGTCACCCTTTTTTAAGCCGATCAGCAAGTCGGGCGTGGATGCCAAGCGTTGGAACTTGGCGATCCAGTCCGTGCTCGGCAAGGAGTTCTGGTGAAACTTTTGCAGCTGCTCCATTGCCTTGAGCTCGGGTGGTTCCACTTGGAACAGCGTGTGCCATGCTGTCGTGGGATCCCCTCCCAACTGATCTTCGTGTGCAGCTCGGAGACGACGACCTTGTGTGTGGACAGGATGTTGTGAAGCCATTCTTGACACACGCTGCCTGACCGGTGATGAAGACAAGCATGCCGGTTGGGGGGCGCACGTGGTGCATGTCCAAGCGCAAGGTGAATTGCCGCCACCAAGGGAGAGGATTGGTCTTCGAAGAGTCGTGGAAGACCGGGATGTTGTCCAGCTTGGTGGGCAGTCGGAGGGGATGAGGCTGGACTGATGGCCGCCACAGAAACCTGCTTCGCCAACAGTTGGTTGGATGTGTGCCGTGTCCTTAACGGCGCTCATGTCCACCTCCAATACGTTCACGCGATCCGCCAAGTTGGAGGGTCTGGCGGGAGTGGGTGCTGCAGGCTGCTGTTCCAGCCTGCTCACGCAGTCAAGCAGGTCGGCGATGAGCTGAGCCTGCTGCTTGACCAGTGTGTCTATGCAGAGGATGTCCTCTTGCTGAGCTGCACATGTGGAGACCAGATCGGTCACGTGTGTGAATGCGGCTGCAACACCGCGCACAGCTTCATGGGTGTCCTCGCCTTCGGCAGCCACCTCCCATTCGCCGGTTATCACCTCTACGTCGCCCTCGTTTTCAAACCTGTCGAATGTCGGCCTCTATGATGTCAAAGCAGCTCCTGGGTCTCATAGCCCGACATAACCTCTGCCTGTAAACCGTCTCTCTTTCTTGAAGAAGAAGAAGAAGAAGAAGAATGAGAAGAAGAGGAAGAAGGAGAAGTGGAGGGCGAGAACAGGAAGAAGAAGAAGATGCAGTCCTCTCCGCTGTCTCACCTGCTGGTAACTGCCGCCATGTACTAAAGAGATGCCGTGCTCCTCTGTGCTGCAGGTCGCTGGCGCAGATACCAGCTATGGCGCCCCGGTAAGCTGCTCGCTCCTCACAGATATGGCCACCACCTCTCTCTCTCTCTCTCTCTCTCTCTCTCTCTCTCTCTCTCTCTCTCTCTCTCTCTCTCTCTCTCTCTCTCTCTCTCTCTCTCCAGTGCAGCGCTGAAAGTAGCGCACTGCTCCAACAGCGTGACGCCCCAAAGAAGTGGGGACCCCTGTCTGCCCAGGAGCTGGGCTGGCCCAGCTATAAGTAGCGTCGGGCCTGGGTGTACTGCCCACAACCTGCAACCTGGGCCGCGAGATCGTGGGTCCGATCCACAGTCCAGATCGCAGGGAAAAGTCCTGCTCCTGGGACTGGACTAAAAACGGCCTGCCTGGGTGCCTACTGGACGTCCAGGCCTTCCCCGCTGATGCAGCAGGGAATTTCCGCAACCGGAGTTAACCAAACCTGGCCAAAAACGTGGCCTTGGTCCGAACAGACACGGACAGGCTGAAAAGTCCGAAACGATGCCCTGAAACAAACAAAAATAGAGCAAGGCAAGGGTCAGCAGTAAATAAATACATGCTGAGAAACAAGAGCCTGGGTTGCCCCAAAATGGTGCCTTGGCCTAGAACCTGGGCGTGGGCCTCCTGGTCACGTGCAACCGTTGGTCCCCAAAAATGTGGCCAGTGTGCAGGTGCAGCATGCAACAAGGCGGTATGGGTTACCGAGTGACTGAATGATTGGTTCTCTTGTTTGCTGCTGCAGGCTCTAGTGGCTTTGAGTGCGAAGAAGCAAGTGTACGCGCCGCTGAAGAGTGCGTTCTCAAGAGAAGCCATCAGGTAAAAGGACTGACTGAAATAGGCCTTTTAGTCTGTTACAGGTGTACTTGTCTCCCTGTTTTTCAGCAAGGAAGTGGTGTAGTGCACTGTTAAGCCTGTTGCCTTTTGTCCTCCATCGATGTACGCACGAATGTTTGGATCTGTGCCTGGTATGTGATTCTGTGGAGCAAGCTGGAGTTGTACCCTTCAGCGGCAGACAGGTGAGTGCACTTGGGGCTTCGCTGTACTTTTTTTCTTATAGATTGAGAAAACTATATAATATCTGTGCAAGTGTGCCGCTTTGGCGGCAGATGGGTGTGTGGGCACCTCCCGCCCAACCACACAAATGTGGCGAACCTTGCATCTTCTATTATGTTGCCCGCCTATTCTTTTGCTATGGATGGTCTGTGATGGTTGTGGACGGAATGAGAGAGAGAGAGAGTTTGGGATTTTTTAGAACAGAAACACATATAGAGGTAAAACTGGTTCATTTGTGCTTCATTGCTTACAATAGAGGTGGAGCTGGAGCAATATTGGATCTATCCATCTGGGTGGAATAGGGGCTGTGGTGGTGGAAATCCACAACGCACACACACTCTCTCCCCCTCTCCCCCACTCCCCATCTCCAGCTTCTCCCTCCTCTCCTCCCACTCTCCCCTCTTGGCGCTCGCCCCCCTTTTCTCTCTTTCTGCCTCTACCTTCCCTTGCACTTTTCTTCCTCTGAGCCAGGGATAGACTTGGCTGTGGGTCTGGTTTGGCATTAAGACTATGAGTGCCGTATTGTTTTCTGAATACTCCGGAAATCAGGTGAGAATGGATAAGCGTGCTGCAGATGAAGGGATGCCTGGTATTAACTTACGTTGGCTCCTGTGATTGAACTCTGGAGTCTGAAGTGGTTGGTTGTTTCTTTGTGCTGTGTGTATGCCTGCTGGCGAACTGTTTCATTGCTAACCCTAACAGAACGTTCATTCGAGAAGCTGGCTATGGTGGAAGAGATATAATGTCCGTCAGCACTATCCCACAAGTGCAAGCAATTGGACCATGGGATGGAAAAGACGGTGAGCTCATTGAGGAGGAGGAGTTCTCGCTCTCAGATCTTATGGGTGGTGATGATGATGGCGAGGTTGCTGAAAAGGAGGCTGACAACGATGCGGAAAAGGAGTTATGATAAGGGTCATTCCGAGGTTGGGAAATGGGACTGACGCCGGCACTGTTTTTCATGGTGATAAGGAGTAGGTGACCATGGTGATAAGGAGTAGGTGACCATGGTGATAAGGAGTAGGTGACCCGTGTCAGGAAATGAGTTAATTGTTCACTGTGCATGCAGAAGATGTACTGCTGAGAGTTTAGTAGCGTGCAGATGAGATTTCGATTTTGAGTCTTTTTGCATTTGATGTCCAACTGGGGAGAAAATATGATGCAAGAGGAGCTATGAGGTTGGGTGGTTTGTGTCGTTGGACTCTACGCTACTCTTGCAGCAGGGAGGGTTGTGTTATTGAGCTCTTGCTGTTTCTATGCTGTACAACTTGGTTGAGGATAAAAAGTTTTGGATTTCATAGCTTGTGAGCCCATGGGCCTCGTTGCCCAACATTCTACTTGTATGTGGATGTATTTGTGGTCTCAATACATTCAGAATGTATGAAGCTGTCAAAACGTATCTGGTCAATGGGGCACTCTAGGTACATCAGCAATGCTGAGTAGTCGACCAAGGCCCCATGTTGCCTTTTTATTTGTCATACCAAGTGAGAAATGGAATGATATTTGCTTTTGTAGGATTTGTGTGCCAAGTGGAGAGCAGATGGTGTGCGTGGGGTTTGTTGCATTGTTGCGGCGCACCTCGCGGATTTGTGCACCGCGCGCACCGCACTGGAAAAATTAGGTCCAAAAAAAAACAAAAACAATAGGGGTTTTGTAATTTCTTAGGGTCCCCAACTCGGCAAAATGTTAAACTCACCGCGCGAGTTCAGAAACCGGCCGCACCCCTGGCCCGAAATGTTTTTGGGCAAGGGCTGCCGAATTTTGATTTCCGCAGGCCCTTACCCCAAAAGTTTCAAAATGGCGAATCATGAAAGTTGGGCTCATTCCAACTGTTTTTTTTGGTGGGGTGTGGAAACTGGCCTTCCCCATCCCTTCTGCAAATCCCACACAGTGGTGGGGAAAATTCGCAAGAAGGGGGTAGTTGCCCAACAGCGACCTGCCCCGCAAAGCTCGCAGAAGTCACAAGATGTGTTTTGTACGGCCAGCTGACCACCAATATATGCTGAAGATTGGCATTCAGGTCTGCATCTCAGCAGTTATGGGTTAGAAACTTAGCATGAAGATGCCTGTAGTGCTCTCGTTTTTTGTTTTATTTTTCTTATGAATATGTACAGTGGGGCCTGCTCTGCTACTCGTCACATGCACAAAAGACATAGCATATGGCGGTGTATGGTTCCATGTTTTAGCAGAATATTCGTTCTACTAATGTTATATACATTTGGTGAGTGGTGGAGGAAGGGCCGGAGAATCACATGGAGACATGAAGAGGGTCTAGCTGAATTGATGACCCATAACTGCCGAGCTACAGCCCCGAACTCGAATCCACAGCATATATTGGTGGTTTGCTCCCACCTCTTCCATATATGTCGAGGCCATGCTTCTGACTGAAGCAGTGGTCCTCGTTGATTCCACATATATTGTAGGAACCATTCGAGGTACCTGCAGGGGCCCTTGAATTGACGTGAAGGGGACCTTTGGTTTCTCTCTCTCTCTCTCTCTCTCTCTCTCTCTCTCGGGCACGTGTTTTTTTTTTTCCCATGCACAGGGCGCTCCTCCCTCAGAGCGCGCACTGCGCACGGTGCACAGTGCACAGTGCACGCACAGCTGACATGCATAGAGACTATTAGAGAGTCTTTATGGTCTGAACAGACGCAACCACAAGGCATTTTTGTCTCAGAATATGACCCACGTTGCAATCACCCACTGACTTCTGATCATTGTTAGAGATTAAAATGCAGTTGACATATTATACGAAGAACAGAATGGGCCTTGCTCCACTAAGCACATGCACCTGCTGGTGTATCTTTCCATTGGAAGATTCATTCTCATTTTGCACATTTGGTGAGCAGTGGAGCGAGGTCCATGTTTCTCGCAGCAGACGTAGCAGAGTCGTACTCGAACTAACAGTACGGTTCCCAGCTATTCTTTTTTGGTGTGCAATTTGTTAGCATGCTGCATCCTTCAGGGCTCGGCCTACTGAACAGATAAAGTCCGGTGGTGCCAGGTGCGAGTTCGAGCCAGCACTGGCTCAGCCAATCGTTGCAATCAGCAGAAACTGGCGTTGGCAAAAAGAGGCTTGGACATACTGGTGGTTTAAAACTCTGGTAGAACGGGTATGGGCCTTTGTAACAGTCCTGATAGAACAGAAAGAGTTAGTGCCGGGGATTGGGACAGGATAGCATCAGAAGAGGGAGCAGCACAAGGGGGGAAAAAGAAAAGGTAAAAAAAATGGAAAGAAAGAGTTAGTGGACGCACTCTAGATCGTGGTAAAGGGGAATTCGTTTCTGGTGCGAAGTTATGAAAAAATCAAGAAATACTTACGTCCTGGATTGGAAAATGTCATACTTGCTGCGCACCTATGCGGTGTGTGGTGCGGTGCGCTGTGCGCCGTGCGTTCATGGGTGATGCACTCGGACTTGCAGAGTGGACGCAGTGTGCACGCATGGGCAGTGTGTTGGAGTACGCGCGACTGGCCCCCATATGCGCGCACTGTCAAGTGTTCCTTTTTTTTTGTGTGTGTGTCGTGTGGCACTTGGAGCCCGTCTGCGTGTGGCACTGCGACCAACAGAAGGCAAAAAAATTAAACGAGTCCTTTTCATTACCATGACACTATCCGACCCAACGAAACACCCACATCAACGGACACTATGACTCAGGGCGTTTTGTTCAGCCCGATAGGCCAGTTGTTCTCCTTTTTGTGTCTTTTTTTTGTATTAGGGCGACAGCCTTGAGATATCATCATGAAACTGACCGCACTACAGCTGCACCTGCTGGATGTGTATATGTCTGCAATTACGTCTCTATAAAAGTAAAACGTCCTGATGTGAGCGAGGCTGTCAGCCTCGCTCCACTACTCACCAAATGTGCAAAATGAGCAGGAATCTACTGTCAGGACATGGAAAGATACATCACCATATTTCCTTTCTTTGTGCATGCGGAGAGTGGTGGAGCGAGGTCCTATGAACGCGCAGGTGCAGTGGACTGAGGCCCGTTGCAATTCTGATAGATTCTGATGCCTATCGACAAAAGTTGTGGCGGTGTATCTGTTCGTGTTCATGGTGAAGATTCATTTTTCACGTTTGGTGATTGATGGAGCGAGGACCTCACCACGGATTCTGCCAGATTCTGGCAGAGGCACTTCGAAACCGCACGCCGATCCGGTTGCAATAGGGCCTTGCCCTATCGCTAACCACTTGCGCAAAGAACCAAAGATATGGCGGTGTACCTTCCCGTTTCTAGCAGGAAATTCATTCTCATTCTGCACATTTGGTGAGTAGTGAAGCAAGGCCCATAGGCCCACAACGTACAGCTCGTCATGACTTTAGGTGGGAAAAGACAACAATTTTTCCACGTCCTGGTTTTAGATGCTTTGCACCATTTGTCTTGAGGAAAGTTCCCGTTCTCCTTTTTTTTATACCAAAAACACCGAAGAAAAATGGTTGTCATTTTTTTCATTTTCTGTTTCTCTAAGGACGGACAGCAAAACGAGTTGTTCGACAGAGCAATAAGCATCCTCGTCATGACTGTATTCGTCCACAGAAATACCTCAGATACATAGAAGATAGCATTCAGACCACATGACAAGGCAAACACATGATTTTTGGGACCGTTGTGGAGCACGGCCCCTAAAAAATTTGCACAGCCGATCTACTAATTTGGCTTGGTGGGAGAACTTCGTTTCAACCCTCCCGCAGACAGACCAGCATCATTACGTACTCTTTTAGTGTTTTTGAAATTAAGAAAAAAGAAGTTGTCTGGAAAAGACCGACATCTTTGCGTAGTGCTAGTGCTACCATAATCTAAACGAGTCATTGACCATTTTTCATACTTGTGCCGCATCGCGAGTGCACATCGCGTAGTCGCACTTTTTTTAGGTGCGCCTCTTCAGGCGACTAGAAAGCCAATAGGTTGTCACACAGGATTTTGAATGATGTTTGCAACAAATAAAATAAATTAAATATAGAAAATCCCTTCCTGTTGTGTGCGTTCGGTTTCGAGTGAGACCTTTCAATTGCGGTCTTCGCCGGTACCTGGTCTTCGGAAGCTTTTATTTTGATTTCGAACAGCAAAGAATCATGCAAATAATAATCATAAAATTTTGGTATGTCATGCACGCATCAATTTTGCCAATTTAGTAATTTACTAATTTTGAGAACTTTGACAAGATCATTAAAAACATAATCATCAGGCAGAGTCAATGCAAAAGAAGCCTGACTGACTCAAGCAATGACAAGATAAGTGAGGGAAGAATGAGAACTCGTAATAATCTCAGAGAGTACACTTGAAGAGAGCATAGTCAGCACTAGTCAAGAGTCGTCACTCACATACACTCAATCTCTCCCTTGGCTGCATGTTTCTTGTGCCTTGAGCCGTGTCCACATACTCCTTGAGATTGTGGTCGCTGGATATAGAGCCACAAGTTCCGAACACTTCCATCCGAGGGCCATAATGCGGAACTCAATCATAATGCAAAACTTCTCCCATAGGGTAGGAAGATACAGTTGGGAGAAGATCCCTCTTCTGAGATGTCGGAACTCGGATGGCTCGGTTAACGCCTCTTTATCAATCACTGCAGGCGAGATATATCTCTTGGCCAGATCTACCAGGCCACCCCAAAGAACCATCAGTGAGAATGAATGGATCCAGACTGATTCAAAGTCATGAGTTTCCTTGCCCTTTTTCACGTTGAATCTCAGGTCACGAATAGTTCCCTCTACGAAGCTGGTGAGAACGACGAAGATTGACAGATCTCCCTATCTGAAACGGACTGCACTGAGGTATTGATACTGAAAGACATATTTGAGTGCAATACTGTTGAGACTAGTCGACACTGACCCTTCGATTGAGGATGACTGAACTGCACTCATGTGCAAAGTAAGCGACTGGAACAAAGACCGACTGCTGGTTGAAACTTACTGGATGTTTCGAGTAACCCGGCGACTAAATGCTTGGTTGAATGCTGGTTGGATGTTGATTAAATGTTGTTTCGATGCTGATTAAATGTCGTTTCGATGCTGATGCTGATTAAATACCGAGATATCGAGTCACCAAACGTTGATCACTCGACGTCGAAACACTGAGAAACTGCAAATCAAGAAGGGGTACCTGCTGACTGAAGATGGTTAAACTGTACTCGTAAGAAAGACAGTTCCATAAATGGTTTTCTGGTGGTTTCTTTTCCCTGTCTGACTGTGTGAAATAGGAGTGGTTGTACTGATTGTTCTCGTTGATCAGATCTTAGCAAATCCTTGTACATTTGGTTAAGGTTTGCCTCTTGATAGTACTGAATGATTTGTCTAACGTCCGTCCTCTGAATCTCACTGCGTTATTCTTACTCTGTAAGTTCGCCTTTGTGGTATTAAGCAAGCCGTTTATGAGATATCCCCCCTTTCCGTTCTCACTGTTGACTACTGACAGCCTCTCTTGCCCGCCCAACAGTCTCAATAGAGGAAAGCGTATAATGCAACTGCCCGTCTGATTCGTAAAAATATGTGTATGGGATGTGTTTTCGACCCTCTACTAATTCCAGTGCACTCACTCTCATTGACTCCAAGCTATGCAGACTGTCTTTGATTGCGTTTTTCTCCCAGCCGTCCTTTCAATCCCGATGAAGAGCAGTGGTCATCTCCACTTTGTCTCTACTTTCCATGGTTTTCTCTTCACACCTAGTCTGCTGTTAACTTTTGACTTAACTATTTTGGTGCAGAGTACTTGGATGTCACTCGCTCCCTTATATTTTCAGAGAAGCAGTTGAAGATCTCCTTGTACCCACTATTGCATCGGTACTGGGACGAGGTCGGCACTGCAAAGTGACCATTGACTTGGGGAGGTCCAATTAGAAGTAGTTAATACCGGCTATCTGATCAAAGGTGATAGGACTGTACATGTGTCGGTCTTGACTGCGTGTTATGACCTAGGATATGGTCAGTCTTAGGTATGGCTTACACTGAGCCTGGAATGTGCTCGAAGCCGACTTCAATAATCTTACCTCTGTGTTTTCTCTAAGTTACGGGGGTCAGCCATTGCCAGACCGTTTTCCTTTTAGAATGCAACTGCAGCTCATTTGGAAGGCCTTGCTGGACTGCTTTCATCGCAGGACCTGCTGCACTGATCTGTTTCAAAAGTCGGTTTGCACTGAGGAACCGGGGCGAACCGCTAGGATGCACAACAATTACGCGATGAAAGTTTTATTAGAGGTAGACCCTTTCTGTTTTTTTTTTTTTTTTTACGACATTCCTCTATAAGCCCCCAATAAGTCAGTGGCTATTGGTCTCCCTCTCAACCAAGCCTATTTAGTACACTGGTTGTGACAGCATCTTCTGAGAATTCGGGCAATCTGCCTAGATTAAGCTTGATGTTAGCGCGGGCAACTGCAGATTCCACCTCAGCTTAATTGTGTAGTGAATAATTATGTAATTTTGTCTCCGGGCGATAGGGCTGTGTACCTAGTAGGCTGAGGGAGACTCAATGGAATGCTCGCGTTTTAACTTCCAGAATTGCAAGGTGCTTCAGTCACTGAAGTTTAGAGAGAGAACCATAGGGCTTGCCTTTGCCCATGACATGTTTTCATGATACAGCTCTGACCGCAGGTCTGATCTACAACATAAAAAAAAACTCTTCGGTATCAGAGGGGAGAACTGGAGTATGCAAGACATTACTCCCTGACTATAGTCTTCATCTTTAGTCACTTGACAGGTAAGTAATGTATCATTATCTCTGTTGGATTCGTCACTTTTCAGCCGACGCGTACTAATCCCCGTCCAACTAAAACTTGGCAACGAAGTGAAGTATTTTTCTCAGCCGTCGTCTCCTCCCTCTGCGGCTCATTACTCAGCCTCAACTCCCGGGAAAAGCTTTTCGATCACTCAAATTGGGGTTTGACTGTAACCCGGTTTGCTGATCTTGTACTTGTAGGTTTTGTGGTAACTCGTAGGCTCACACAGAACTGACACCTCCAAGATCATTTGGACGCTTACTGATTGATATGACTGCACGCACTCATACAGCCCCCTCACCTGTAGGCACGTGCAGTTGCGTAAGTCTATAAGCTTGTATGATCATCTGCCCGCACGGTCGCCAGACCTGCGGATTCGTGCTGCCAAAGGCTTATACGATCACGTGAGCGCCAATAGACACACGTTTGCACGAATACTTGTGAACTCGTGCGGTCTTCAATTTGCGTGACCACACGTTTAACCACCACAAGAGTCGCAAAACAAATTAAACTTTCCGATTGTGCTTATGAACCTTGCCCTTCTTCAGCCGAATTAGTGTCCACAACTTAAAACAGAATTGTCATTTGAATCACACATATGAAATTGAGAAGGCAACGTGATCAAAAACTCAATCTACCGTAGCCCCTTCGGGTGACCTGTTCACCCCATGGAGGCTGCTCGAAGCGGCGTGTAAGTCAACTTAACTCTGTAGAGGTTGGTGAGGAAGTTTGTCTCAATGGGATTTGATTGTCAACTTGACCAAATGCACAGAGGGCTGACCCTTATTTTCTACGCTTTGCCGTCGGAGGTTGCCAAGCAAAAAAGTTAATCTCGTACACCGTCACGAGATTGTTATTGTAGTTGTCAAATTGCCCCTTCTAGTCAACCCACCCGCAGTCGTTATATTCGACGAGGTTAATCCCCGTCCAAGCACACGAGCAGATAGACAACCTTCCTTCACGGCACGACTTCTCTCACCCATTAAACAACCAAGTACAAGAAATGAAACTCGGCAAAGTCGTTAACCATGATCATCTCCCATCTTTGAGGTCCATGTCTCTTGAGGGGGATGCGGTCGATGGATCACTTCTAACTTCTGACCGACAAACCAGAGTTTGATAGACGAACACTGGAGAGGTAACGCTCACCATCAAGCTCACCAAGCATGGGCAACCTGTTGATTCCTTAATCTTTTCATTAGATCAAAAGGGTGGAACGTTGTTTAGTGCTCCATACCATCAGTGCATTGTCAGACATATCATTATCCATAAGGAAAAGGAATGAAAGAATAAAGGAAAAAAGGGGGAGAGAGAGAGTAGAGTGACTTAAAATTGAGATTTTAACTCTTATCTGTCTGGCTAGGTCTTACAACTGAATCCTAACCCACACCATTCGGTTTTTTTTGTCTAACTTTGAATAACCATACTGGTCTCCAGTACATCACAGTTATGACTTCCTCACTTCTTTAATAAGCAGAGTCGTTGTCACATATCTGATCATGTTCCCCTTAATCATGATAGCCTACGTCCACGGGAGAAGGATGTGGTAGTACTACTCCCAACGCGTAACATCAAGATACTTTCTCCTCAGTTCCCTTTCGACACGCAAGACAATCTCAGTCATAAGAGTCTCTTCATACCTCATAGGTAGCTCAGGAAAGGCCCAATGACGCAACTAATACAGACCGCTTATGCAAGTCTCACGCATGCATCCGAAGCATCGTGACATAGTCCCTCCGACCTTCTCACCCTCTTTCCGCCACATCCTCGTGACTCGTATTGTCTGTAATTCTTCACCTAATCATAACGACTGATCCCTTCTCAAAGCGGCGCCTTCAAGAATGATGACGTCAACCTGAGAGTCTCGGCGCATCTTCTTCTTGAAGGTTCGACTCTCCCCCTGGTTTGGGGCATCGACGTCACTAGTAACATTTGTAACTCTCCACCCAGTTGTGACCAATCAGCTCGAAGCTTTTTCTTACGACACTTGATCCCTCCTCACGAAGTGCCTTCAAGAGCGATGACGTCAACCAGTCAACTCTCAAGCGGTAGCCCCAAGAAGTGGTGATGTCACCTCGTTACCTCGTCACAACTCACTCTTCTTACCCGAGGGTTATAAGGCGTTGCAACTCGTTTCCCACGCTTCCATACCACCGCCTCGCTCCTGTTCAACCCTGCGTGCGTACTTCGTCCCTTTGACCCTTTCTTCTTGTCGATCACGTATCATTCTCGGAGTACGCAGCGGCCACGACAATCGCGCATGGTCCGAGCGGTGTGTGCAAGCAAAAAGAACTTCTCTTGCCTGCTTGCTCGGAAAAATTGAGACGACCGTCATTAATTGTCGCGAACCAGTACCTGTATCAGCTATGACAGACAAAAATGTGGGTGATCCCTTGCACACAGCGCTCTCTCTCGGTATGGGTTCTCTGTCTTCTCTTGAAGAGCGGTCCCCCTTTTTCTCATACACTTCTCTCGTGCAACTGCCCAGCACCCTTAGTCACGTCTTCGTTGCGAGTTGGCCTCCAGACCGCTCTCCACTGGCTCAACTGCCGGGTGGTCTCGCCTCCACTGGTCCAGTTCGTGCCAGGACTGGGTCTCCTCGTTCAGGTCGCTCGCCTCACTCTCAGCCTTTGTATCGCGGTCCAGATGCCTCTGCCCCCGTTCCACCGTATCGTTTGAAGTCTTCGCCTCCAGGTAAGATATGGTCACCTTTACCTCGTCAGTGACCCCGTCCCTCCTGCATCTTCTCTCGACGCGGTCCTCGGCCTCCGTAATGGCCGCCTGCAGTCCCTGGTCCGCCCTCATTTCCTCCTCTTTTCTCCCTTCTACGTTTACCTTCAGCTTCACATCCTGCCTACCGTAGTTGTTGTCCAGTACAGCCGTCACTGTAGGCCCTTCTCCTGACATCTGCTCCCACCTCCGAAGAAACTGGATGCACCTTGGCCTATAGCCATACAACCCACTGCTACGCACCATGGTTGAGCCCTTCTCAGTTGGATTGTACGAGATGCCAGGCTGCAGAGTTCCAAGACAGCCAGGGCCGAGCACTCAGAGCATGAGCATGCTCACATAGGCAGTCCCCCACACTCACCACGCCACCTAGGCCCTCCCTCCTTGGATCACCAGTGCTCGGCGTAGCGAGATCACTCATGCCCAAGTGGCGAGAAGCCAATCCTTTTATACGGTCGCTACCTACCGCGATCCCCGTGTTCTGAATGAGGGATTTAATTCGGCCGACATTTAAGTTCTGAACATTAATAATTAGATCTTAGGAAAATGAGTAAAAGATAAAATAAAATTTAAAGGAAGAACAAAATAAAGGACCACACCCCAACGGTCGTATTTTGAGCAGAATTCTTTGTCGTCCATCGCAGCCCCTTCGTTTCTGACGTGACATATTTGCTGGTGCGGCAGTCCCATAACAGAATACCGCCCGACACTTCACTTCCTTCATAGGGCAGTTACGGGCTACCACGAATGGATACCCGTATCCGATGGTAAGGAGGGGGCCTATGACCTCCCACCGGGGGGTGATACTACCAAGGCGGCCGCGGGTTACCCCTCTTTTGGGGTCTCACTGGGCGGCGCTCAGCCAAACAGGTCAGTCACAGTGCGATACTTGAAGGGTCGGCTTCAGTTACGAGGCGGCACACTGTAAGGCAGGGTACTGAACCTGTGCAGTACCACTGGAAAGCCCAGTATCTGGGCCTGTCAATTCCACACGACCCTGCGGACTGATACCAGGCTTACAGCGGTAAGTGAACGGATGAACTGGTACGCAGCGGTAAGTGAACGGATGAACTGGTACGCAGCGGTAAGTGAACGGATGAACTGGTATGCAGCGGAGGGGCCGGGACACCACGCCCTCCGACAGCGTGCGCAAGGACTCATTTAGATTATGGTACCCCTAGCACTACTCAAGGAGGATTCTCTTCCAGGCAGACTGTTTTTCTTAGTTTCAGAAACATTAGTAAGAGTAGCTAAGGATGCTGGTCTGTCTGCTATCGGCTACCAGAGAATCTGTTGTTTCGGAATTACAGTAACTATCACAAAGTTGCCTTCGTGAAGGCAATTCTACTTTTTTGTGCATAATTCTCGAGGCACTGGCTTTTTGAATCTTTTTCATATTACCTCTTTTCTTTAAGCACCAGTACTTGGCCCAGCTATCAGGTCCGAGCCCCGGCCGACTGGTATGCCGATCCGTGCTGGGGCTCGGAGGGCTGGACGTTGGCTTCCCGGACCTGATGCTGAAAGAAGAGAAAAACAAAAGAGGACAAGAAAAAGAAAAACGACATCCCTCTAGTCAAATAGAAAAGTGACAAAAGAAAAAAGAAAGAAAACAAAGCTAAAAAAAACTTTCCCACGCCAGAGGGGGGGAGAGGGAGAGGGGAATGAATCTTCCCACAAAAGCTGGAAGAATCGTTCCTGTTTTGCACTTGGAAAATGCGCATGCGTGCAAGAGAGAGAGAGAGAGAAAGAGAGAGAGAGAGACAGCAGAGTACGGCAATTTGCGCTGAGGAGCGCAGATTGCGCTCCTC